TTCTTATACCAGTAAGTGAGGTGGACATGATTATTCATTTTACTGATAAGAAAACAAGGATGTAATGCACCCCAGATAAAAAGAGTTGCAAATCAATGATTCTAGATCTTGTTTTCCAGCTTCTAAAACCAATACACTCATCTACTATGATGGTCATCTTCAACATTTTTTTTGCAGAAGAAGTTGGGAGGCATGCTTTGCAGGAGGAATAGAGAAGGGATAGCAGGGCCTGAAAGAGGCCTGGTGGTAAAATGATTAAGTGCTTGGCTGCAAACTGAAAGGTAAAAGGTTCAAACCCACCAGCCAATCAGCAGGAAAAAAGATCAGCTAAGCTGCTCCTGTATAAATTATAGCTAGGAAACTCTATGAAGTAGTTCTACTCTGTCATTTAAGGTTGCCATGATTTGGAATTGATGGCACACAGTAGCAGCAGAAGCTGAAGGAAATGCCAAGATGAAAAGACCTTCAATTTTTAAACGTACCACAGTTTTGTTAATGTTTGAGAATACCAAAATTCTATTTATTTGTGTCCACATATATCCATATATTCCACTGATTAAATTGCTTTACATAAAATTGACTTTGCACTTTATTAGCCACTTGATTTGGGGAAGAATTCTCAAATTGTCTCATCTTCGACACCCTAATGTGTAAAATACGTATAAAGTGGTAGTTGTAACAATCCCATAGGTTTGGCTCTTGTATCCTCTCTTTTTATTCCATCACCAATGTCCTATACTCCTGCATCAACTTCTATAAATAGTCAGCTGACTGGTGTTTCTGACTCTGACTTCAACCACCTTAGTGAACCTTGTCAAAGACAAACAAAACCCTTCCTAGAGTAATTGCTCAAATGACTCCTTCCTCAAATTACTCTGTATCCTTCCATTCATAGTCTCAAAAACCTTTCAAGGTTCCCTATTTCCTAAAGAGTAAAAGAAAAATTCCTTCACTTCACATTCATGGCTCAACAGCCACTATGGGTACTGTCCACCACCTCAATGAGCACCCAGATGATCCCCTGCCCTTCAGTATATTTACTGAAGGCCCCATGTTTACATTCATAACAAAATCTTCACACAGGTAGCAGTTTGAATAATCTTCAAGAACTCACAATTCCTAAGTTTACACTTAAGAGAAGAGAAATCAGAAATACAAACTGATACTTCTATACCCAAGATCATATCAAAATTATTCACAAAAGGGAAAAAGTGGAGGGAATATCCTAAATTTCCATCAAGAGATGAACATACAGATAGAATGTGATGCAGACATACCATGGGATATTACACAGCCTTGAAAAGAATCCAAATCCTTACACATACTATAGCAAGAGGGAACCTTGAAAATATTGTGCTGAGTAAAATAAGCCAGTTACAAAAGGATAAATATTGATCCCACTTTTATGAAATATCTAAAACAGGCAAGTGCATGAAAACCAAGTTATTAGTAGTTAGCAGGGGCCTGCAAGAGAAAGAAGAAAGGAGGACTCAGTGCTTAGGGGACACTGAGCTTCTAATAAGGGTGATGACAAATGTGGAAACAGGTAATGGAAATAATTGAACAACATAATGGATGTAGTACGTTAATGCTAGTGAATTATACATGTGAAGAATGCTGAAACGACAACTGTTTGTTCTGTGTGTATTTATTACAATGAAAAAAATCCTCAGAACCTTAATTTCTCAAAAAGAAACTTACAAACGATAAAGGCAATGGAATAAAGATATTTATCGCTTGTTAGTATGAAAGAGCTTAATAAATTCAAGATTGTATTAATAAAAGTGTTTTATTTGCAGGTAATCTAATTGAGAGTAATATTAAATACATGGAGAATAAAAACAATGTGACAGAGTTTGTTCTACTGGGACTCACAGGAGATCCAAAGATGCAGAAAGTTATATTTGCTGTGTTTTTTGTCATCTATTTTATCACTGTGGTAGGAAATGTGCTCATTGTGGTCACTGTCATTGCAAGCTCATTGTTGAGATCCCCCATGTACTTTTTCCTGGCCTACCTCTCCCTTATTGACACTTGCTATTCCTCTGTCACTACCCCTAAACTGATTGTAGATTCACTCCATGAGAGGAAGACCATCCTATTCAATGGATGTATGATGCAAATATTTGGAGAACATTTATTTGGAGGTACTGAGGTCATCCTTCTTACTGTGATGGCTTATGACCACTATGTGGCCATCTGTAAGCCCTTGCACTACACAATAATCATGAACTGGAGAGTCTGTATCTTACTAATGGGAGTCTGCTGGATGGGAGGTTTTCTTCATGCAACCATACAGATCCTTTTCACATTTCAATTACCCTTCTGTGGCCCTAATGTCATAGATCACTTTATGTGTGATCTGAACCCTTTGCTCAAACTTGCCTGCACTGATACCCACGTTTTAGGGCTCTTTGTTGCTGCCAACAGTGGGTTCATTTGTCTGTTAAACTTTCTCCTCTTGCTGGTCTCCTATGTGGTCATCCTGTACTCACTAAGGACCCACAGCTTAGAGGGGAGGTGCAAAGCTCTCTCAACTTGTGTTTCCCACATCACAGTGGTCATCTTATTCTTTGTGCCCTGCATATTTGTGTACATGAGACCAGCGGCCACTTTGTCTGTCGATAAGGCAATTGCTGTATTCTATACCATCATAACTCCCATGTTAAATCCTTTAATCTATACTTTGAGAAATGCCCAGATGAAAAATGCCATTATGAAATTGTGCAGTAGGAAAGTTATTTCAGGTGATAAATAAGTATCTCCAAGTCCTAAGATTAATTCAGCTGAAGAAAAGATCAAATGAACATGTAAAGAATTGCAGAAGGAAATACTTATAGGATAAAAGAGACAGAGGGAGAAAAACTAACCTAGGGGTATTCTTTGTATATTTGAAAGATTTACCAAATTCACTACTGGTGGCACTGTGCCTAAGGCATTTGACTACTAACCAAAAGTTGGCAGTTCAAACCCAATAGTCACTCTGCAGAAGTAATATGGGGCAATTTCCTTCAGTAAAGATTTACTGCCTCAGACATCCAATGGGGGTTGCTATGAGTTGGAATGGACTTGATGGCAGAGCGTATAGTGTTTTGGTTTTGGAATCCATGCCAACGGATGCATAAATTTTCCTTTAATAAAATGTGAATGAGATAAACTTTACTTGGGCTGAGCAAAAATATGTATAGCAGGTGCCAAGAGATTGGTACCTCTGTTGTCTGATTTTACAGGTAAGGAACTGAGAGAAACAGGAAGGCCCCAAGGAAGACATGTCAAAAAACCTGGACCCAGAATGTGACTGCTTTCTCAGACCATGCTCTTAATTGTTATGCTATATTATCAAGCTCTGGTAGCATAGTGCCCAAGGCACTTGACTGCTAACCAGAAACCTGACGGTTCAAACCCACCAGCCACTCCTCGGAAGGAAGGTTGGGCAATCCTACTTCCGTAGTGATACTGCCTCAGAAACCCAAGGAGGGGTCACTATGAGTCGGGTCCAACTTGATGGCAAATAACAACAACAACAATTGTCAATCAGTGATGATTGAAAGTCTGATAATTAAAACAGCTATCATTAATTATGCCAGGAACAGTGCTGGAAACATTGTATGTATTAGTTCATAATCTATAACTAGAAATCTAATAAAGTTTACTAATTTCTATGTTAATTTTCCTGTACCACAATTTTTGGCCATTTGTTACCAGCAATGTTATGATATCTAACTACTTTAAGGATGCAAAAAAATGAGCCATTTAATCTGAGTGATACATAATGAAGATTAAGCTGTGTTTCCAAATTTCCTTACATGCTTCAGAACCATATTGCATGGCTCATGTCACCCATCTTAGACTGATAACCAACTAGAAAGAGTAATGGCTCAAATAAAAGAACATTTGAACATATGGGAGAGATGTCTATTTATCGAAGTCACACTCCACAGAAGACTTGTCTGCTAGATGTAATAGTTCTTACCATGTAGCATAATATCTGGTGTTCAAAAAACTCAAATTCATTAAAATGACCAAATTTACTTGTCTGGAACTACAGGAACCCCTGAGATTATTGTCCTAAATCACCACTCTAATATGGAACTGAAGCCCCTCCCAGAGCCACCTCTCAATCAAATAATAGATTGGACTACAAAATAAACAATAACACACATTAGGAATGTGTTCCTTGGAACAATCAACTATAAGAGCCCCAAAGGGCAATATTTGCCTGAAAACAAAGGTGAGAAGGCAGGAAGGGGCAGGGAAACCTGAAGAATGGAAATGGGGGGCCAGAGGGGAAACAGTGATTGCTGACACATTGCAGAGATTGCAAGCAATGTTACTGACTGATTTGTAAAGTAATTGTTGAATAGAAAACTAATTTGATATGTAAACTTTCACTTAAAGCACAGTAAAATATTATATATATATAATATATAGTTCTTCAACTTTACCTTTACCTCATATAAAAATTAAATATTTATGAATCTTGGTATGTTTTTAATAAAGCAAAAGAATATGTTATATATTTATAAATGATTATTTCTATTCCACAGATGCTCATATGTCTATTATATATTATATTTGCTCATATTTTCATGGGATGTAATATTGTGTTTGGTTAGAGACACCAACAGGGAGCAATTTTGATAGATGTGAGTGGTTGATGTAGAAAACTGACTCCATTTCTTGATTGAGGACAGTTAATATTTTACTATGGATTTGAAAATCATATGACTCTTCTAAGTAATAAACATATTTCATGTTTTCCTTATTAGTTGCCACATGCATTTTTTTTTTTTTTTTCATTTTTTAAAAGAGTAGGTAGAGTTTCTGACTTTATCTCCATGGAGTTCAAGATATGGAATTTTTTTTTTTTTTTTTTTTGCATAAGCATCATACTACCTAAAAGCTGTATTAAACTTAAATACTTCTTATGTATAGATTTGGTAATGTTTTGTTTTGGTAAAAGAAAAATTTTTATTTTCAATTTTATGTGAAAAACTAAGTTTTTCTGAGTTTACAGGCCTTCTAGGAACATCCCACACAGAGAAGAAAGAATTTCCTTCTATACTATGGGACATAATCTATGCTTAACAAGAGTTTACTTTTTAACTAAAAGAAATATTTTAAAATTTTGTTTACTTTTAAATTTTGATGTTTAATTTTTCATGCCTATCCAACAGCATATGTGACTTCTTTATAAACCTTGTAGCCTCTTACCTAGAATATTATCAATATTATTGACACTATCTGATGGCACCTCTCTGATGCCATTCCTCCACCTCTTCTAGGAGGTAATTATCATCCTAAATTATAAAAAAGAATCACAGCTAAAACTAGTTCAACTACATGTGTATGTATCCTCAAATTACATTGCTTAGATATTCACATTCCTTACTTTTATTAAAATTATGTAGCCCAAAGTTTTTCAGCATTTCAAATTTTATCACTCAATATTAATTTTCCAAGATTTGATTTGATTTCTGCATATAGTCTGGTCCCGTTGTTTCTCCTGCTGCATATAATTCCATCATTCAAATATACCACAGGCTAAGATCCATTCTCTAGTCAGTGCTGAAAGGGACTGTTTCCAGTTTTCATTATCATATGCAGTGTAACTGTGGACAATCTAATATAAATTCTTCTGTGTTAAGGAGAGTATTTACATGATTGATTACTTTTCTTTTGTGTGTGTATGTTTTTTGTGTGTGTGTGTCTGTGTGTGTGATTTGGGTACAAGTATACGGAGTAAATCAGTCATCCACTCAGCAATTTACACATATTTTGTTTTGTGACGTTCACTGAATTCCCACAATGTAACAGCACTCTCCCCACTTCCTTCCTGTGTTCACCATTTCCCTTTATTCTTCTTTCCTGTCCTTTTCTGTCTTCTTAGCTTTATTCCTGGGCAAATGCTGCCCTTTTTGTCTCACATGGTTATTTTTTCTCATTAGTACATACTTCCTGCTATTATTGTTCATTTGAGAGTCTTATCATTTGGCTAAAAGTTGAGACAATGGTATTAAATTCAGTTCTTGGCTTGAGCAAATTAAGGGCCATAGTCTTGGACCAGTCATTGTCAGATGCATAAGCCTGGTCTTTTTTTTTTTTTTTTTTTAATAATTTTGAACTTGGTTCTACATTTTTCTCAGACTATATCTAGGACCTCCTATTATGACCCCTTTGTTAGTAGTCAGCTGTGGTACCAGCTCAACATAAACTTCTTCTGGTCACAGGGTCCTGGAGGCTGGGATTCACATGGTCCATTAGTCCTTCAACTAACTGTTTCCTTGCATTTTTTGTTTTCACTTCTTTGCTCAGGATGGGGAGAGATCAATAGCTGCACCTTACGTCACCATTCACAAGCTTTTAAGACCCTGGTCTATACTGATGAGAAGGTCTTTTTATTATGACTTATGCATGCTTTGGTTTGCCACAGTCTCTACTATACTTTATCACATCAAACTGACCACTTTACTCTTTTGGATGTCTATGGATTTATGTATCTGGATATTAAAAATATCATTTATTAATATTATACTGCAGGCATGTTAAAATACTTGAAACTAGAAATTCAAAGTATGATCACTGGCATTTAGACCACAGAATGAGAGCTCATATATAAAGCTAAGTTGAATGACTGAGTGCAGAAAACCTCCAACCCAGGACACTATTGGCAGCATGACACACCATTTGTCACATAATAAAGAAATATTACAAAGACCTGCAGAGGGCCACATATATGTCATAGGCCACCAAAGTGTTATTTTAAGAGATGAATCATATAGAACTGAAAGGATATGGTGGTTTTCCCCAAGAAGTCTGGAATCAATTTGAGGGAGATGGCTGATGAATAACTGATATCCATAAGTGTTAATAA